CCCGTAATCTAGTTGTTGTGCTATTCTCGTTAATAACGCCATGATGTGGTAAGTAATAACAAGGGCTCGCTATTGTTGGATTAACTATCTTATGCATGTGACCTAACTGCCGATATTCTTGCATAAATTCTTTGTATTGTTTTCCGAATTCAGGGAATTTTTTGAACTTTCGCTCCATACTAACGGAATATTACGAATAATTGACGGTTGGTACGGTGCGCATAACATTTTCCAAAAGTTCATATTTCGGTTGGTATAAGGATTTCGAGTAGACATACACGTTTTCGTATCTGAGACCCTTTTCATCGAAGAGCAGTGTAAGGATTAGGTTGGTTTTACCACAATTCGATGGTCCGCATATTAAACAACGAATGCTATCGGGAAAATTATCGCCGTGTCTTCTCTATAATCTGGACAGTATGTTTCTGTTTCACGAGACGCATGTCAACTAGTTTACTTTACGCGTTTACGTAAATATTTATATAAGTACAAACTATAATATATATCATTTCAATGCCATCACTCAAACGAGGTGGAGGTATTCTTAATTCTCTGATCAACAAATTACCGGTAGAACTACACATTCCATCGTATTCGTATTGCGGACCGGGTACGAAGTTGGCAAAACGATTGGCACGAGGTGATCCTGGCATTAATCCTCTCGATTCAGCTTGCAAGTCTCACGACATATTTTACGCACAGAACAAAGATCTATCGAGTAGACACGAAACGGACCGAGCGCTAGAGGAGCGAGCTTGGGATCAAGTTAAATCGAACGACGCAAGTTTCGGTGAAAAAGCTGCCGGCATGGTCGTCACCAATGCTATGAAAATCAAATGTAAATTGGGCATGGGTCTCAAGAAGAAATGCAATGATAGAAAAAATAAGAAACATGGTGGAAATGGATTGGAACTATTTCGGGAAAACTCTATAAAAAATGTAAAAGGAAGTATTGATAAGAAGAAAAATAAGAAGAAGAAGAAGAGTAAGGAGAGTAATAAGAAGAAGATGAAATTAGCATTAGATGTAGTCAAGGCAGCTACCAGAACACTTTCAATTCCTAAAACTACCGGCGGTTTTTTATCCTTAATTCCACTATTCGCCGGCTTGAGCGCTGTTGGCAGTTTAGCAGGTGGTGCGGCCGCTATAGCAACCGCTGTCAACAAGGTAAAAGCCTTTCGGCTTCAATTGAACGAATCAAAACGTCACAATAAAATTGTCGAGGAAGCAATAACCCGTTTGGGAGCCAAAAACAACAAAGACGGTAACGGCCTCTACCCTAAACCGTACAAACAAGGAACGGGATTGAAAAGACAATCGAGATAAAATTATTTAATTTAATTTTTATTTATATTTTTCAGTTAAATTTAAATTTGATTTTATTATCTAACTGAAAATTTCAAATATAAGTAATAATATAAATTATTCTAGCATTGGTTTAATATAAATGAAGAGAATCGAAATAATTTATATTGGTAAAATAAAGTTAATGGGGGTTTAACTTGATTTTATCAATATAAATTACTTTAATTTAATTTTTATTTATATTTTTCAGTTAAATTTAAATTTGATTTTATTATTTAACTGAAAACTTTCAATGTAAGTAATAATATAAATTATTTTAGCTTTAATTTAATATAAAGAAGCTAAATTAAAATAATTTATATTGGATAAATAAAGTTAATGGGGGTTTAACTTGATTTTATCAATATAAATTATTTTAATTTAATTTTTATTTAAAATTAAATGTTAAAAAAATTTGATTCTAGTTTTTAAATTTAGTTTATATTTTTATTATATGTAAATTTTTGTGAAATAAGTTATTTAAAATAGTAATTTATTTATTTATAATAGCAATAATAAATTTTATACAATAAAAGAAATTTTGATATAGGAATATATAATAATATTGATAAAATTTGTGCCAGCAATCGCGGTTAAACAGATGATATAATTAAATTTTATTTAATAATAATAAATAAGTTTATTATTAATTTACAATTAAATTTATTAGGTGAAATTATAAATTTAAATAAAGTTAATATAAAGATTATGAAGTTATGAAATTCTAATATTAAACTAGGATTAGATACCCTATTATAAGGAATGTAAATATTTAATGTTAGGGGAGTAATAGTTATTGTCTTGAAATTTAAAGAATTTGGCGGTATTTTAGTCCTTTCAGAGGAACCTGTCCTGTAATTGATATTCCACGATTAATTTTACTTAATTTAATAGTTTATATATCGTCGTAGTTTGAATATCTAGTTGATATTTATCTAGTTGAATAAATATTCATGATTTAAGATATAATAAAGAAAATCAGATCAAGGTGTAGCTTATAATTAAGGAGAGATGGGTTACAATAAATCATTTAAATGGATGTAATATTTAAAATAATTATTGAAATTGGATTTGAAAGTAATTAATTTTATTTAAAATTAATGATTTTGGCTCTAAAATATGTACTATCGCCCCAACCTTATTTACTACATGGCGTAAGGGACAGAAAACAAACCCCGCACGGTCGCTTTGCCGAGTACGGCCGAAGAATCGGGGACTGGAGGGGCGTACTCATTTTCTCTCGAACCTTTGCTCTAGCCTTGTCGTCTCTTCAACCCTGAAGTGCCGGGCGCCCGATGCCAGCTTAAAGTCGAGCGCGCCTTGGATTCGAACAAAAATACACAATTTCGTTTTTACAATTCAAATAACTGTACCAATGTTATGACGTAGTCGATTTTAAAAATTCATAAAATAGTCAAATATATTCATTAAAATAAAATAATTGAACTTTAATAAGTGAAAAAAATTGTTTCTTAATTTTAAATACGTTTCTGTACTGTATATCTTCGTAAAGTTAAAGAATTTAGTTAAAATTCGATGTAAAAATCGTCTCTTAATTTCCATTAGTAATATTTTTTTTCTAATCTCATTTAAAATGGCATTTTAACCGTTTAATATTATAGAAAGTCTCAATAATTTCAAGCCATTTACGACCATTAATGCGTTTACGCACCGTTTCTTCACATTTTTTTGCGTATTTTTGACATAAGGCTTTTGCGAATTTTTTTTTCTTGAGTTGATATATTTTTTTTGTAATAAGTCTTAAAATTTTACAATAATTTCTCACCTTCATCGTAAATGGGTAAACAATAAACTTTTTATTTTTTGTACACTTTAGTAATGTTAAAAAATTTATTACCTTATTCACATAAGGTAATATAAAATTTCTGTTGAAACTACCTGTAAACTGAATTTTATAGATTGTTATTTATGAGCATGATAATATTCCATATTATAATGAAAAACCATTTGATTTTGAGTATATAATTCATTTATTTACAAAGAAAATTTTATTAATAATAAAACATTTTATTATATATATATTTTTTTTTTTTGCGCAGAGTAGGGGAAAATGCCTTACGCACCCCGGCCTACTGATGGCGCCTATAGTTTGTGGGTCGCAAAAATCGTATTTCGGCCGGGAGTGTGGGACTACAATTAATTAGCCCCTGCTACCCACTAAAAACCCCCTCTTTTCCCGGACAACCCGGATTTCTGCGGAAGTCGTTATATCCAGGATTCAATTGCAAGAAAAAAAATATTGATGGTTAATATTAATTTTATTAAGGTTGTCTCAACTTACCGGCTTTNTTCTTTAAGTCTTTTAATTCGAGCTGAATTAGGTAACCCAGGAACTTTAATTGGGGATGATCAAATTTATAACGTAATTGTTACAGCCCATGCTTTTATTATAATTTTTTTCATAGTAATACCTATTTTAATTGGGGGATTTGGTAATTGACTTGTACCTTTAATGTTAGGGGCCCCTGATATAGCTTTTCCCCGAATAAATAATATAAAATTTTGATTATTACCACCATCTTTAACTTTACTTTTAATAAGAAGAATAGTAGAAAGGGGGGCAGGAACAGGATGAACAGTTTATCCCCCCTTATCTTCAAATATTGCCCATGGAGGTGCCTCAGTAGATTTAGCAATTTTTAGACTTCACTTAGCAGGAATTTCGTCAATTTTAGGAGCTGTAAATTTTATTACTACTGTTATTAATATACGAACTACAGGAATAACTTTTGATCGTATACCTTTATTTGCTTGAGCCGTAGCTATTACAGCATTACTTCTTCTTCTTTCCTTCCCAGTTTTAGCAGGGGCAATTACAATACTATTAACTGACCGAAATCTTAATGCATCTTTTTTTGATCCTATTGGAGGTGGAGATCCAATTTTATACCAACATTTATTTTGATTTTTTGGTCATCCAGAAGTTTATATTTTAATTTTACCTGGATTTGGAATACTTTCTCATATTATTAGACAAGAAAGAAGAAAAAAAGAAACATTTGGTACATTAAAAATAATTTATGCTATAATAGCTATTGGACTATTAGGATTTATTGTTTGAGCTCATCATATATTTACTGTAGGAATAGATGTAGATACACGGGCCTATTTTACATCAGCAACTATAATTATTGCTGTTCCCACAGGAATCAAAATTTTTAGTTGTTTAGCAACTCTACATGGAGCTCAACTTAATTATTCTCCATCAACAATTTGATCTTTAGTGTTCGTATTTTTATTCACTGTTGGAGGCTTAACAGGAGTTATTTTAGCTAATTCTTCAATTGATATTATCTTACATGATACATATTATGTTGTAGCTCACTTTAATTATGTTCTTTCTATAGGTGCAGTATTTGCAATTATAGCAGGTTTTGTTCACTTATTCACTGGTTTAACTATAAATCAAAAATTTTTAAAAATTCAATTTTTAATTATATTTATTGGTGTTAATATAACTTTTTTCCTTCAACATTTTTTAGGATTAAGAGGAATGCCCCGCCGATATTCTGATTATCCAGATGCTTATAGAACATGAAATATTATTTCATCTATTGGATCTTTAATTTCATTAATTAGAATTTTCTTATTTTTATTTATTATTTGAGAAAGATTTACATCTGTACGAAAATCGAATGAATGCAAAAAATACCCCCAGCAGAACATAGATATGATGAATTACCTATTTTAACATCAAATTTCTAATATGGCAGAATAGTGCAATGAATTTAAGCTTCATATATAAAGTTAAACCTTTTTTTAGAAATAGCTACTTGAAAAAGAATTACTTTACAAGATGCTGCCTCACCACTAATAGAACAACTAATTATATTCCATAATCATGCATTATTAATTTTATTAATGATTACAGTTATAGTTGGTTATTTAATAAGAACTTTATTTTTTAACAAATTTAATTATCGATTTCTATTAGAAAATCAAATAATTGAAATTATTTGAACTATTGCCCCTGCTGTAACATTAATTTTTATTGCCTTACCCTCTTTACAACTTTTATACCTATTAGATGAAATTAATAATCCAATAATCTCTCTAAAATCAATTGGACATCAATGATACTGATCCTATGAATATTCTGATTTCAAAAAATTAGAATTTGATTCTTATATAATTCCAATAAATTAAATAAAACTAAATGGATTCCGATTATTAGATGTTGATAATCGAACAATTTTACCTTACAATTCTCAAATTCGTATACTAATTACAGCAGCAGATGTAATTCACTCTTGAACTATTCCAGCTTTAAGAGTAAAAATTGATGCTACACCTGGTCGATTAAATCAAATTAGATTTTTAATAAATCGAACAGGATTATTTTTTGGTCAACGTTCTGAAATTTGTGGAGCAAATCATAGATTTATACCTATGGTTGTAGAAAGAATTCCTATAAAATATTTTATTAAATGAATAAATTCTAATAATTCATTAGATGACTGAAACGCAAGTATTGGTCTCTTAAACCATATAATAGTAAATTAGCAATTACTTCTAATGAAAAATTTAGTTAATTTATAACTAATATAAATTAATAAAATAACATAATAATAATTTTTAATTCCACAAATAGCCCCATTAAGTTGATTAACTCTAATGATTTTTTTTTCTTTAATTTTCATAATCTTTAATACTATAAACTATTATTCATTTAATTATAATATTAAATTTTTGTCTTTAAAAAAAAAAAAAAAAATTTCAATTGAAAATGATATCAAATTTATTCTCTTCTTTTGACCCAGGAACTTATCTAAGAACATCTTTAAATTGAATAAGAACATTTTTAGGATTATTATTTTTACCTTCTATATTTTGATTAATTCCTTCACGTTATAGATATTTATGAAATAAAATTATTATTACTCTTCATAATGAATTTAAAATTTTATTAGGAAATAATTCTATCAAAGGAAGAACATTGATCTTTATTTCTATTTTCTCTATAATCATATTTAATAATTTTTTAGGATTATTCCCATATATTTTTACTAGATCTAGTCATATAGTAATAACTCTTACTTTAGCTTTACCAATATGATTAAGTTTTATAATTTATGGATGAATTAATAATACTATACATATATTTGCTCATTTAGTTCCTCAAGGAACACCCCCTGTTTTAATGCCTTATATAGTCTGTATTGAAACTATTAGTAATATTATTCGACCGGGAACTTTAGCTGTCCGATTAGCAGCTAATATAATTGCCGGACATTTATTATTAACACTTTTAGGTAATACTGGATATTCATTAAATTTTATTTTAATTAATTTTTTAATTATTACTCAATTTTTATTACTTTTACTTGAATCAGCAGTTTCAATTATTCAATCATATGTATTTGCCGTATTGACAACCCTTTACTCTAGAGAAGTAAATTAATTTAATTTAAATGTCAAAAAAAAATCACCCATTTCATTTAGTAGATGTTAGACCTTGACCTTTAATAGGAGCCCTAGGAGCTATAATCACTATAATTGGAATTATTAAATGATGCCATTTTTTTAATAATAATTTATTTTTATTAGGAACTTTAATTACAATAATAATTATATTCCAATGATGACGTGATATCATTCGGGAGGGAACTTTCCAAGGTTTACATACTTATATTGTAACTATAGGACTTCGATGGGGAATAATTTTATTTATTACATCAGAAATTTTTTTTTTTATTTCATTTTTCTGAGGGTTTTTTCACAGAAGTCTTTCCTCTTCAATTGAAATTGGAATAATATGACCCCCTAAAGGAATCATTCCCTTTAATCCCTTACAAATTCCTCTTTTAAATACTTTAATTTTATTAACTTCAGGTCTTACAGTAACATGAGCTCATCATAGATTAATTGAAAATAATTATAATCAAGCTCTACAAAGTTTAATTTTAACTGTAATTTTAGGAATTTATTTTACAATCTTACAAGCTTATGAATATATCGAAGCTCCTTTCACTATTGCTGATAGAGTTTATGGGTCTTCATTTTTCATAGCTACAGGATTTCATGGAATTCATGTAATTATTGGAACAACATTCCTACTAACTTGTTTAATTCGTCATTATTTTAATCATTTTTCCTGTATTCATCACTTTGGATTCGAAGCAGCTGCATGATACTGACATTTTGTAGACGTAGTCTGATTATTTCTATATATTTCTATTTACTGATGAGGTAGATAATTCCTTATAAATTTATATAGTATAATAATTATAATTGATTTCCAATCAAAAGATCTAATAAAATTTAGTATAAATAATTAAAATAATTTTTTTCATAAGATCAATAATTTTTATTATTTGCAATATTTTAATTATTCTTTCTTCTATTATTTCAAAAAAAAGTTTTTTTGACCGAGAAAAAAGATCCCCATTTGAATGTGGATTTGACCCTAAAAGATCAGCTCGAACCCCATTTTCATTACATTTTTTTTTAATTGCAGTAATTTTCTTAATTTTTGATGTTGAAATTACACTATTAATTCCTATTATTATAACTTTAAAAATTTCTAATATAATTAATTTTAATTTCATTATTTTTTTTTTTATTTTTATTCTTTTATTTGGACTTTATTATGAATGAAATCAAGGAGCTTTAACTTGAACAAAATAATCTTTAGGGTAATAGTTAATTATAACATTTAATTTGCATTTAAAAAGTATTGATAATTTAAATCAATTTACCTTATTTATAATTAAATAAGAAACAAAATATTGTATTTAGTTTCGACCTAAAATTTTGATGAAAAATATCATCCTTATTTAAATTAAATTTTAATATAAAAATTTTAAATTAATTGAAGCCAAATTAGAGGCATATCACTGTTAATGATAACATTGGATTATATCCCAATTAAAAAGATAGGGAACTCAAGAATAAGCTTCTAACTTAATTCTTTAGCAGTGAAAATCTGTTAATATCTTTAAAAAAAAATTTATTAGTTTAATAAAAACATTACATTTTCAATGTAAAAATAAATTAATTTATTTATAAATTACTTAAAAATAAAAATTATTACCCTAATATCTTCAATATTATACTCTTATTTAAGCTATTTAAGTAAATTAATATTATTAAAAATATAATTCACATAATAGTTAATAATAAAAAAATTTTTAAATTATTATTATGTAAAAATTGCATATATATAGATATATTTTTAATATTTAAATAAATATTTTGAGCTCCCAAAAATTCAGATCAACCTTGATCAATATTTTTATAAATTTGATTTCCCATAATTAAAGGATAAAAATTAACACCAAAAGTTCTTAAATAAGATATATTTCATATTGAAGAAAAAAATAAACTTCTATTTAAATTATTTAAAGAATTTAAAGAATAATTCAATTTTAATTTAGAAAATTCATATCCTAAAAATATTCCCATTAAAATAACAAATACAACTATTATCTTTATTAAAAAAGATAAACAAATAAAATATGGGATTGGAAATATTAACCATATTAATATTCTACCACCAAAAATCACAAATATAATTAAACCAGATATTCCTTTTAATATGATAAAATTATTATTATCAGAAATTAAATGTAAAGAAAAATGATTAAAATTCCCAATAATTACATAATAAATTAAACGAAAAGTATAAGAAACAGTTAACCCTGTAGAAATAAAAAAAATTAAATAAATATAAATATTTAAATAATTTATTGAAACAACTTCTAAAATTAAATCCTTAGAATAAAATCCCGATAAAAATGGTAACCCACACAATGCTATATTAGAAATAACAAAAAAAGAACATGTTAAAGGTATTAAATTAATCAAATTTCCTATAAAACGAATATCTTGACAATTTCTTAAATTATGAATCATACACCCCCCACATATAAATAATAATGCCTTAAATAATGCCCTAAAGATAAAATACTCATTATTAACCCTAATTGACTTAAAGTTGATAAAGCAATAATTTTTTTTAAATCAAACTCATAATTAGCTCCTAATCCTGCTATAAATATTGTTATTCTTCCAATAAATAATATAAATATTNTTTGTCCCACGCTTCTTCTGTGCTCATCATCAGTGTGACGATAGTTTCTGGCGCTATGGGGCCCACGACACCTATCAATCTTTCCCTTAATTCCCCCCATCTTACACAGCGGAAAAAAGTGTGCTCGGCGTCGTCGGTAGCCGAGTCCGAATAAAGACACGCGGGGCTCCCTGTTTTGCCTATGGTATATAGGAACTTATTGAAGTAGCCGTGGCCGGAGAGGAATTGGGTAAGGAAGTAGTTGACCTCCCCGTAGCTTCTGTCTTTCCATGACGCGATGTCAGCTATTAAGCGCGCCGTCCATCGTCCCCTCGTCTCTCGATCCCATCTATGCTGCCACTCTTGGTGCGTTCGGGCCCTATTCCGGTCTCTTTCCTGAGCTCCTCCCTTCGAGGACCAGTTGCGTCTTCTTTCCAGGGCCATGAGGTCTATCGGGATTATGCCGGCCACCACGAGGACCGCCGGGCCAGACACGGTTCTGTAGGCGCTGGCAACTCGGAGTGCCCCCCTGCGCTGCACAGCCGCCAAGCGTCTCCACTTATCGTTGGTAATTGATTTTGACCATGCCTCGCTTCCGTATAGCATAATTGCATGGGCGGTCTCCATCAATATCCGGCGTTTTGTTGTCGTTGGACCACCAATGTTGGCCATTAACCGCGCCAGTGATGCTACAACTCCCGCGGCCCTGCCGCACACCAACTGAATCTGTTGCCCAAAGGTGACTTTGTTGTCTATAACGACTCCGAGGTATTTAACGGCCTTTCCAGCAGTGATTTCCGTATCGTTGATCGTAAGAGGGATTTGCACCGGGATCCTACGTCTCGTGAGGAGGACAATCTCGGTCTTTTCGGCTGCTAGTGTCAGTCCCCGATCAGACGTCCAGGAATGTATCCTTCGCATGACTCTGTTGATTTTTATTTGCAGCTCACGCGGTTCTCTACCTAAAACGATGGCGGCGAGGTCGTCGGCGTATCCTACCAAATAGGCACCTTCTGGCATAGGCATCCTCAGTACCCCATCGTAAAAGATGTTCCACAAGACTGGGCCCAGGACGGAGCCCTGGGCCACGCCGCATGTCATCTTTCGGCTTTGTTTTCCTTCACTGGTATTATACACGATAGTTCTATCCCGCAAGTAGTCATCGAGCATTCTCATGAGATATTCCGGCGTAGAGAAGGTTCGTCGCAGTTCCCACAGAATGTCGGTCCATCTCGCCGAGTTAAAGGCGTTTCTAATATCCAGGGTCACCAGAGCGACAATGGGTCTGGAATAAGCGTTTATGCGCTGCGCCTCCTGGAACGTGTTGAGAATATCGACTATTGCATCGACGGTCGATCGGCCAAGCCGGAAGCCATACTGTCTCTCGGAAAGTCCGCCTGCTCTTTCAACACTCTCCTGCAATCGCATTCTGATGAGCTTTTCGAGGAGTTTTCCCGCGGTGTCCAGCATGCATAACGGGCGGTATGTCGTTGGTAGTCGCGGGTCGCCGTCCTTTTTCTTTTTAACGAGCACAAGTTCTTGTGTCTTCCATGCTTGGGGGAATATTCCCTCGTTTAAGCAGGTGTTGTACATTTGGAGTAGGACATCGGGCGCGGTACTTGCCATCACTTTGAGGGCTTCCGCGGGGATACCGTCCGGGCCGGGAGCTTTTCGGTTTCGGAAGCTTTTCACGCAGGCGAGCAGTTCCTCTCTAGTGAACTCGGGGGCATCTGTAGCGCCTGCCGTTTCCTGTCTGCCTCTTTGTGGGTACTCCGGAAATAAGGCGTCAACGATTGAAGCCATAGTCGCTGCTTCAAGCTCTGTAGGGGCAGAAATATGGCCCAGCTTCCTCATTACGATTCTGTATCCAAGGCCCCAGGGATCGAGATTTATGTCACTCCGGACTTCCTCCCATTTCGCACGCTTGCTTTTTGCTATGGCTAGTTTCAGCTGTCTTTTAGCAGATTTAAACTCCGCAGTTTCATTTGGAGCGTTTCCTGGATCACGCCTGTTTATCCTCGTCAGTTTTCTTCGGCATTTATTGCACTTTTTCCTTAGCTCGGAAATTTCGGGTGACCACCAGTACGTCGTTTTCTTGGTGGTTTTGACATATTTCTTGCGAGGCATGCTGCACTCGCACGCGCGCTGCACGAGCGTCATCGTTTCTCGTACCACAGAGTTGCTACGGGTTTCAGAGTTCATGATGTCTGCCCTACCATCATCGATGGCAGCAGTGAATGCTTCTACGTTCAGTTTAGTGGCATTCCATCGCGTAGTGGTGTTATTTCTCATGCGTTGCTGATTTTGTACTTGAGCCTCCACGATGTCATAACTGATGTACTGATGATCACTCCCTGTGTATTCCTCCAGTACCACCCAGTTTCGAATACGACTAGCAAAATTTCCAGACGCCATAGTAACGTCCGGGATCGTCTCGCCGTAGCCTACTCTACGGAAGGTAGAGGTGTGGCCAGTATTAATCACGATCAGCCCAGTTCTGGCGGCAAGTTCCAGTATCCTGCGACCTCGTGGGTCAGTGTTACTCATGCCCCACTCGATAGCCCTGGCGTTCAGGTCTCCTGCCAATAATATTTTCCCGTTGTAGTCTCGGACGAGGTCCTCAACTTCGTCCAGTTTTCGTTGGAAACGTGCAATTGGGTCGTTTGGAGTCAAGTAGCAACTGATAATCATCACATCCTCAGTACGGACCCAGACATAGCCTTCTCCCGCGTCATGCTGTAAGATGTTGAATTTCCAGTGGTTAGGGATCCAGATAGCGGCGGTGCCTAGAGTGTCGGCAAACCAGTTTGGTTCGTCCCTATCTCGGTATTGTTCACTTATAAGTATTAGGTCAGCTCCCTGGTCGCGTTGAAATTGCGAGAGTAGGCTATCCGCTACTTTACTACGGTGCATGTTGGTCTGAATTATCTTGAAGACGGCTTAATTGCTCTTTTGGCCGCCTCGAGAGCTTTCTTGAAGTTTGCGCAGCCGCCCGATCCCGAAACATGGTCTGCTGGTCTGTCTGTGCCGTTGCACAGGAAGCACTTTGGTTTGTTCTTGCATTCCGCTTTTACATGGCCTTTTTCCCCACAGTTAAAACAGATTTGATCCGTTCGTCTGTCAGGTCCGTCACATTGACTCTGGTTGTGGCCGAATCCCAAGCAGCGATAGCACCGCAGTACTTCTGCGTATCTCCTAACTCGACTGTTTACCCAGCCAACTCTGAGCCGTCCGGTCTTTACGAGAGCATCAGCGTCCCGCACGCTTAATTGGACGATTGCTTTGCGGAGCATCTGTGAGTTCTCCGCCGTAATCCTTATTTTGGTCTCTGCCTGTAATGCAGGAATTTCCTTCTTAATGGCCTCTTCCACTTCTTCGGCCGTCGTCATCGAGTCCAGATCTAAGAGTTCTAACGACGTCCTGGGTTCCAACGAACTTACCCTCGCCTGTTCGCCGAGGACCTCGCAAATTTTTTTATTAAATGCTTCCTTGTTTTGGGCGTTTCGGCCAAATTGTACCAAGACGTGGCCGGCCTTAGTCTGACGAATTAGATTAATGGTCGTATCCGCCTCTTGCAGGTTCGTGTTGTTCCTCAGCTTTTGCAGGACATCGGCATAAGTCGTTCCCTCTGCCGGTTTTATGAGTACCGCCGAACTTCGTTGGCGAGGTTTTGCTGCTTTGTTAGGCTGGCCAGGATTCTCTGGTCCTGGCACATTCATTTTTCCGCGTACCATGGCTGCAGCTTTCGCCGTCTGGTCATCAGTTGTGTCTTTCTTTTTCTTTTTTCTTTTGTTGTTCCGCACCACCTCAATCCATTGGTTAGGGGTTTGCTGCTGGTCGCCTTCTACTACCGGTTTTTCTACGCTGCCGGTTTCACGTCGCCTCTTTTCGTTTCCGACGGCGGGGCTGGTGGCACCGCGCTTCTTGACCGTGCTATTCGTTTGGATATGTGCTGCCGCTTTCATGGATCTCTCGTCGATTTCTTTTTCAACCTTTCTCTGGGCCTCCTTGCACATGGCAATTACTTCCAGAGCCTCCTCGAGTTCACCAAGCCCTTTCTTGACATCCATGGAGATATTTCTTTGTCGTGCCGTTGCAGACTTCATCGTTTCGATTATGGCTAGACATCTCTTTATCTCCATTTCTTCATCTCGCTTAAGCTTGTGCAAGTAATCCCTCTTTGGTGACATTTGTGTTATTTCTACACCCGCATTTATGGCCTCTTCGGGCTCATTTCCAACTACACCTTGTTCATCATTGCCTCGGATGGGTCGCATGTCATCCCCAATTTCCCTATCTACGAAAAGAGAACTATCGTCGCTTTCCTCCGTCGCCGTTGCTATAGTGGGCGTCGCGGGTGGTGAGCTCCTCAACTTGCTACTCCTTGCAAATGGGTTGAGGTTCAAGCTTAAGTTGCCACATGAGCTTGATCTTATTCTAGCTTTATTTTCGCTAGCCATCATGTACGTGAACTGTTGTGGTTTCCCCTTTGTTTCCCCAAACTTCTCTTTAAGTTCTTTCACTTTGTTCTTGCGTGTTTCCTCAACATTTCCTCCTGAGTCTGATCCTTTTCTCTTTCCCTCCTTTCCGAGTGGTGGAACCATTTTGTTTCATCAGTTTATTTTTTTCCCTCCCCGACCTGTAAAAAGATCGCCAAAACAGAACAGAAAACGAATTTAAGAAAGTAGCCGGCGCGGGCAACCGTCCGTGGCAGCGGCCGAAACCGCAGTCACCGTTCCGCCCACACACGACACGCGACTTAATGGGCTCCGACGACAGAGGCGCACGCGCACTACTGATAAGAGCTGAGTGACAGCCAAACAAAGAAAAAGCGTCTATTTTCGCTATAAATCTTAAACTAATCTTACACTAAAGAGGTCCTGTCCTTATCCTTGGGTCCTTTCCCGTTCACAAAAAGAGCTTTAACTTTTTCACTCTTCGAGAGCGAAAATCACACACAAACTCGCAAGGTTTAACTTAGTTTAAAGGGTTTAAAGACAATTTTTGTAGAGCACCACGAAAACACGACTTTGCTGGGCAGCAGCCATCTTCACCCCCATAATTAGCCCCTAATCCTGCTATAAATATTGTTATTCTTCCAATAAATAATATAAATATTATACAATTATAATTTAATGATATATTAAAACGAATTAATAAATAAACCCCCGCAGTTACTAATGTAGAAGAATGAACTAATGAAGAAACTGGAGTAGGGGCAGCTATCGCAGCAGGTAACCAAGAAGAAAATGGAATTTGAGCTGATTTAGTTATAGCTGCAATTATTACAAATAAACCAATAATAAAAATTTCATCTCTTTTTATATAATCAACATAAAAATAATAATTAAATCCCCCATAATTTAATATTCAAGCAATTGATAATAATAAAAATACATCCCCAATTCGATTACTTAATGCTGTAATTATCCCTGCATTATAAGATTTTACATTTTGATAATAAATTACTAAACAATAAGAAACTAATCCTAACCCATCTCATCCTAGTAAAATTCTAATTAAATTTGGACTAATAATTAACAATATTATTGATAAAACAAATATACAAACTAATATAATAAAACGATTAATATTTAAATCACCTTCTATATATCTATTTCTATAATAAATTACTATAGAAGAAATAAATAAAACAAATCTTATAAATAATAAAGATATTCAATCTAATAATAAAGTTATTAAAATTTGACAAGAATTAATATTAATTAATTGAAATTCTAATATCAATCTATAATCTAATACTATAAAATTTAATCTTAAAAAAAAAAATAAAATTCTAATTAATAAAAAAAATACATAATAAATTAAACAAATTGAAATTATTTAAAACAAATAATTTGTATCTTTGACACCACAAATCAAAATTTTTAATAAACTATTTAAATTAAATTCATAAACAAAAAATTTCTCTTTTTAAAATTAAAATATTTAAAGGTAATCAATGCAACATTAATAATAAATATTCTCGTACTATACCAGTAAAAAAAGAAAATAAACCTGAATACACTATCCCATGTTGAGTATAAGAATATAAATATAAAGAATAAACAGCTCTAAAGAAAGATAAAAATATTAATATTAATATTCTTAATCTATTTCATCTAACTAATCTATTAATTAATATAATTTCTCCTAATAAATTTAATGAAGGGGGAGCTGCTATATTTGATCTTCTTAATAAAAATCACCATAATCTTATTCTAGGAATCAAATTAATTATTCCTTTATTTAAATATATTCTTCGTCTAGAAAATCGTTCATAATTAATATTTGCTAAACAAAATAATCCTGATGAACATAAACCATGGGCTAATATTATTACTAAAGCCCCACATATACCTCAATAAGTTAAAGTTATAATTCCCCCTAATACTATACCTATATGAGCTACTGAAGAATAAGCAATTAAAGATTTAATATCAATTTGAAGAATACAAATTAAAGAAACTAATAGCCCCCCATATAATCTAATTAAAATAAATATAATATTAATTTTTACACCAATTCTTAAAAAAATTGATATTAAACGTATTAACCCATACCCCCCTAATTTTAATAAAACACCTGCTAAAATTATTGAACCAGAAACAGNAATAGTTTTGTATGGGTCAGTGCTGATGAAACTACTGATTTATTAGGTCGTAGTATTGTCAATGTCGTTTTAGGTACTTTGGATGCAACAAGATATTCAAAAAGTTTTTTGATTGCTACTAAGGTAGCAAATAAGGTTAATGCAGAGTATGTGGCAGAAATTATAAAGAAAAGTTTGTCCGAAATTTTTACAGATTATTCCTTAGCGATGCAGCAGCATATATGCTAAAGGTTGGCAAACTGCTCAAGAACACATACCCCCGTTTGTTACATGTGACTTGTGTAGCACATGCTTTACATCGTATTTGTGAATTTATACGAACCGAATTCCTTACAGTGGATAAATTAATAAGTTTAATCAAAAAAATTTTTTTGAAAGCCCCTTTAAGAATTCAAATATATAAAGAGAAGTGTCCGCTTTTACCTTTACCACCGGAACCTATAGTTACTCGCTGGGGAACTTGGTTAGAGGCAAGTTTATTTTATTCTGAAAATTTGGAATTGGTAGCAAACGTTATCGAATCTTTAAACAATGATTCCAAAAGCATTGTAGAATGCAAAGAATTATTGAAAAATCCATCTTTAAAAGAACATTTGCTATATATTAAAACAAACTTTGCAGATATAAATAACGGCATCAAATATTTTGAGCAATCGGGCATAAAACTGGAGGAGTCAATAAATAAATTAAAAGAAATTATAAACAAATTAGAAAGAGTACCCGGTGAATTTTCTTATCGTTTAAGTAAAAAAATTAATTCAATATTTGATAGAAATCCGGATTTAAAAACATTGCAACAATTACATTCTAACAACAATTTAACGTTTGAACATTCCGAGTTGTATTCAAATTATTTTATATATGCCCCTCTAACAAGTTGCGACGTTNGTTGTACACTTCTACTTGTTATGAAAGAACTACGTCAATACCACATTTCGCAGGCGTTTATAAACCCTCACCGCTCCTGAAACTTATTGGGGAGGAGGAGGATGCATCGAGTGCGTTTGTATACATGTATATTTATAACTCCGTATACCTCTGCATAATAAATTAAAAAAATATCTCGCAGGTAGATCATGACTCACTTACTAGTATTAAGTTAATTGACCTCCTCCTCGAACGTATCCCCCCAAAAAATTTGCCGATTCAAGAACCTCCTCGCATATTTTAAAGCTCCGTATACCTTTACACAATAAATTTTAAAAAATATCCCGCAGGTAGATCATGACTCACTTATTTGTATACCTACATGTCCCAAAACCGTATACCTTTGTGTACAATAAGTTAAGAGATATATCGAAAACATTAACAGTTCATTGAGAAGCGTCGAAGGATAAACATAGTAATTGTTTTCATCTAGGTAAACAGGTTACATATAAAGATAAATTTTTAATAACATAACCTAAATAAAGATACATTTTTAATAAAGATAAATTTTTAATAATTTCGTCAAAATAACATGACCTTCTCAAGTTAATTGACCTCCTCCTCTCTTCATCGAATCTCCTCCGACCCTCAAAAGAATCGCCGATTCAAGAACCTCCTCTCCTCATCGAACCTCCTCTGACCCCCCCCCCAAAAATTTGCCGATTCAAGAACCTCCTCCTAGAACGCAGGTTCGAGGAGGAGGTTCTTGAATCGGCGAATCTATACTACTATTACTTAATGCTGTAATTATCCCGGCATTATAAGATTTTACGTTTTGATAATAAATTACTAAACAATAAGATACTAATCCTAATCCATCTCATCCTAATAAAATTCTAATTAAATTTGGACTAACAATTAACAATATTATTGATAAAACAAACATACAAACTAATATAATAAAACGATTAATATTTAAATCACCCTCTATATAACTATCTCTATAATAAATTACTATAGAAGAAATAAATAAAACAAATCTTATAAATAATAATCCAATCTAATAATAAAGTTATTAAAATTTGACAAGAATTAATATTAATTAATTGAAATTCTAATATCAATCTATAATCTAATACTATAAAATTTAATCTTAAAAAAAAAAATAAAATTCTAATTAATAAAAAAAATACATAATAAATTAAACAAATTGAAATTATTTAAAACAAATAATTTGTATCTTTGACACCACAAATCAAAATTTTTAATAAACTATTTAAATTAAATTCATAAACAAAAAATTTCTCTTTTTAAAATTAAAATATTTAAAGGTAATCAATGCAACATTAATAATAAATATTCTCGTACTATACCAGTAAAAAAAGAAAATAAACCTGAATACACTATCCCATGTTGAGTATAAGAATATAAATATAAAGAATAAACAGCTCTAAAGAAAGATAAAAATATTAATATTAATATTCTTAATCTATTTCATCTAACTAATCTATTAATTAATATAATTTCTCCTAATAAATTTAATGAAGGGGGAGCTGCTATATTTGATCTTCTTAATAAAAATCACCATAATCTTATTCTAGGAATCAAATTAATTATTCCTTTATTTAAATATATTCTTCGTCTAGAAAATCGTTCATAATTAATATTTGCTAAACAAAATAATCCTGATGAACATAAACCATGAGCTAATATTATTACTAAAGCCCCACATATACCTCAATAAGTTAAAGTTATAATTCCCCCCAATACTATACCTATATGGGCCACTGAAGAATAAGCAATTAAAGATTTAATATCAATTTGACGAATACAAATTAAAGAAACTAATAACCCCCCATATAATCTAATTAAAATAAATATAATATTAATTTTTACACCAATTCTTAAAAAAATTGATATTAAACGTATTAACCCATACCCCCCTAATTTTAATAAAACACCTGCTAAAATTATTGAACCAGAAACAGGAGCTTCAACATGAGCCTTAGGTAATCATAAATGAACTAAATATATTGGTATTTTAACAAAAAAAGCCATATTCATACATATATATATATAAATATTTCTAACTATATTTCTTATAAAATAGAAATCTAAATTAAAAAATTTCTCATAATAATAAAAAATAGAAATTATTATAGGTAAAGATACTAACAAAGTATAAAATAATAAATAAATTCCTGCCTGTAATCGTTCAGGCTGATACCCCCAACCTACAATTAAAATTAATGTAGGAATTAATCTTATTTCAAAAAATAAATAAAATAAAAATAAATTCATAGAAGAAAAAGCTATATATAAAAAAAATATTAAACATAATAATACAAAAAAAAATATATTTATAAAATAATTTTTATAATTTAATGACTCTCTAGCTATAATTATTAAAATACAAATTCATAAACTTAATAAAATTATACAATATGATAGTAAATCACAACCTAAAAAATATCTTAAATTTTTAAATAAATAATTATAACTATTAACAAATATAAATAAAAAAAATATTAAAAAATATATACATTGATTTAATCAAAATCTTTTCAATTTAAAACTCATAGGAATCATAAAAATTATTATTAAACTAAATTTTATCATAAAATTCTAAATGTATTAATATAATCATTCCCATGTGTACGAATTATAGAAACTAAAATTCCTAATCCTAAAGCACCCTCACATACTCTTATAGTTAAAAAAACTATTCTAAAAAAATATTCATAATAAAAAAATGATAAATAAATAAATAAATTAAAAAATAACCTTAAAATAATAAATTCTAATCTCAATAATATTAATAATAAATGCTTACGTTTAATAACAAATGAAATTAAACCTGAAAAATATATAAATACTGAAAAATATAAATAAAAAATTAACATTAAGTTTTAATAATTTATAAAAAATATTGGTCTTGTAAATCAAAAAAAAGAATACTTCTTTTAAAACTTCAGAAAAAGAAAACCTACTTCCATCTTTAATCTCCAAAATTAAAATTTTGTTTAAACTATTTTCTGTTCTGATATTTTAACAATAATAATATTAATAATTACTTTATCTTCATTAATTATATGAATTAATCACCCATTAACTATGGGATTAATCCTTCTAATTCAAACTATTAACTTATCTTTATATATAGGATATTTAAATCTTAATTATTGATATTCTTATATTTTATTGTTAATTATAATTGGAGGAATATTAGTACTTTTTATTTATATAACTAGAGTAGCATCCAATGAAAAATTTTCTCCCTCAATCAAATTATTTATATTTATTATACTAATAATATTTATATTTTTAAATTTACTTATTTTAATTGATCCTTTTTACCTTACTATTAATAATAATTATATAAATTTAGAATATAATAATTTTAATTTTTCTTTAAATAAATATTTTAATTTTCCTAACTTAATAATTATATTTATATTAATTATATACCCACTAATTAGACTTTTTGCTGTTGTAAAGATTACTAGATTCAAAAAAGGATCTCTACGATCCCAATTAAAATAAATAATGATAACTCCTATGCGAAAAATATCCCCTATATTAAAAATTATTAATAATTCTTTAATTGATTTACCTTCTCCTTCTAATATTTCAGCTTGATGAAATTTTGGATCTTTATTAGGATTATGTTTAGGAATCCAAATTATTACCGGAATTTTTTTAGCTATACACTACACATCTAATGTTGATTTAGCATTTAATAGAGTAATTCATATTTGTCGAGATGTAAATTGTGGATGACTAATTCGAACTTTACATGCTAATGGAGCAAGATTCTTTTTTATTTGTTTATATATACATGTAGGACGGGGTATATATTATGGGTCATACAATTTACATATAACTTGAACAATCATAGTATTAATTCTATTTCTTGTAATAGCAACAGCTTTTTTAGGATATGTCTTACCCTGAGGACAAATATCTTTCTGAGGTGCTACAGTAATTACTAACTTAGTTTCAGCTATTCCTTATATAGGAGATATAATTGTACAATGACTTTGAGGAGGATTTGCTGTTGATAATGCTACCTTAACTCGATTTTTTGCTTTACATTTTCTTCTTCCTTTTATTGTAGCTGCTATAATTATAATTCATTTACTTTTTCTTCATCAAACAGGATCTAATAATCCTTTAGGAACTAACAGAAATATTGATAAATCGCCTTTCCATCCCTATTTCTCTCTAAAAGATTCTGTTGGATTTATCACTATAACTATAACTTTAATATTATTAGTTTTAATTAACCCTTATATATTAGGAGATCCCGATAATTTCTCCCCAGCTAATCCTTTAGTAACTCCAATTCATATTCAACCAGAATGATATTTTCTATTTGCTTATGCAATTTTACGATCTATTCCTAATAAATTAGGGGGAGTAATTGCTCTAGTATTATCAATTGCTATTCTATTTATTATACCTATCATTAATAAAAAAAAAATACAAAGAACTCAATTTTATCCAATTAATAAAATTTTATTTTGAACATTTTTGAATATTGTAATTCTTTTAACCTGAATTGGGGCACGACCTGTTGAAGATCCTTATATTATAATTGGACAAATTTTAACAATTACCTACTTTTTATATTTTATAATAAATAGAATAATATCTATGCTTTGAGATTCTATTATATTCAAAAATTAAACTAAATTAATGAACTTGTTATAAGTGTATATTTTGAAAATATAAAAAAGAAGTCAATCCTTCTATTAATTTATTATACTAAATTTTATTCACTATAATAATAAGGAAAATAAAAATAATTTTAAACCTATAAAAAATATCAGATAATTTAAAGAAACAGGTAAAAACCCCTTTCAACATAAATATATTAATTTATCATACCGATATCGAGGTAATGTCCCTCGAACCCATACTCATAAAAAAGATATAAATACTAATTTTAAAAAAAAAAAAAATCTTATTAAATTAGCACCTAAAAATAAAACTACGCATAATAATCTTATAAATAAAATTCTTGAATATTCAGCTAAAAAAATTAAAGCAAACCCACCTCTTCTATATTCAACATTAAATCCAGATACTAATTCGGATTCCCCTTCAGCAAAATCAAATGGTGTACGATTTGTTTCAGCTAATCTTGAAACAAACCATATCATACATAAAGGATAACATAAAAATAAAAATCATATAAATTCTTGATATTTCATAAAATCAATTAAATTTAATCTAGAAATTAAAAGTAAAAAAGATAATAAAATTAAAAATAATCTAACTTCATAAGAAATAGTTTGAGCAACAGCACGTAATCCCCCTAACAATGAATAATTTGAATTTGACGATCAACCTGCTATCATAATTGTATAAACACCTAATCTAGAACAACATAAAAAATATAAAATACCCAAATTAAATCTAAATAAAAATGTCATAAAAGGAACACACAATCATAACATTAAAGATAGAAATAATCTTATTACCGGAGATAAATAATAAATAAAAAAATTAGCTATATAAGGAAATGTTTGTTCCTTAGTAAATAATTTAATCCCATCTCTAAAAGGCTGCAAAATTCCCATAAATCCAACCTTATTAGGGCCCTTACGAATTTGAATATAACCTAAAACTTTACGTTCTATTAAAGTCAAAAAAGCTAATCCAACTAAGACTATAACTACTATAATTAATACCATAACCAACCTTAAAATTAAATCTAAAATAAATATTATTACTTGTATATATTATTATACATAATTAAATTCTAAATTTAAAGCACTATTCTGCCAAAGTAATTAATATTAATAATATTCCTAAATTAATAATTATTATAAATATTTGATCCTTTCGTACTAAAATATTTTTATTTTTTAAAGATAGAAACCAACCTGGCTTACACCGGTTTAAACTCAGATCATGTAAAATTTTAAAGGTCGAACAGACCTAACAATTTTAGCTTCTACACCAAAAGTTAATTTTAATCCAACATCGAGGTCGCAAACTTTTTTTTCGATAAGAACTCTCAAAAAAAATTACGCTGTTATCCCTAAGGTAATTTAATCTTATAATCATAAATAATGGATCATTTAATCATAAATCAATGAATTTATTACCAAAAAAAGTTTATTAAATTTTTTAGTCACCCCAACTAAATACTTTTTAATTAAATTTTAAAATTAAATTTTTAAACTAAAAAAAATAACAAAAATATTAAACTATAGGGTCTTCTCGTCTTTTAAAAATATTTAAGCTTTTTTACTTAAAAATAAAGTTCTAATTAAATTTAAATCGAGACAGTTTTTTTCTCGTTCGACCATTCCAGTTCTCAATTAAAAAACTAATTATTATGCTACCTTTGCACGATCAAATTATCGCGGCCATTTAATAAATTCTATCATAGGGCAGGTCAGACTTTAAANATTTAAATCGAGACAGTTTTTTTCTCGTTCGACCTTTCATTCCAGTTCTCAATTAAAAAACTAATTATTATGCTACCTTTGCACGATCAAATTATCGCGGCCATTTAATAAATTCTATCATAGGGCAGGTCAGACTTTAAATTATAATCAGACATGTTTTTAATAAACAGGCGGAAAAAAAATTTGCCGTTCCTTAACTTAACCTTTCAAAAATAAAATTTTTCAACATAAATTATACTAATTTTATCATTATTACATTAATTATAATATTAAATTAATAATTTTAATAAAAAATTTAAAATATTATAAAAATTAAATTTAATATAAAATTTGTTATAACACACTAAATTATTAAATACTTCCACTCCTATAAATTTTATACTTTAATATAATTTATTTTTAAACTATTTATTTTAAAGCTTATCCCTTAAAATATTAACTATTATTTTTATTTAAATAATTAATTATAAAAATAAAAAATAATAACTGAATTAAATTCATTTCTTAAAAAACTAGATAAATTTAAAAACGAATAACGTTTCATTTCTAAAAAATTATTTTAAATATTTATTTCACAATAAAATATATAATTTCTTAGCTCTTTTAAATTCGAGAAAATTATAATATATAATTTTTATTTAATAAACCCTGATACACAAGGTACAATAAATTAAATTTTCTTTTAAAAATATAAATTTTTCAAAACCTATTTAAATATTCTATCTCTATACTAATAAACTATAATTATAAATAATTTTATCTAAATAAATAAAAAAAAAAAATTATTTTTATTAAAAATCAAATTAAAAAATTAAATTAAAAAATAAATTTATATACTCAAATTAAATTGATTCACACAATTAACTTTTTAATGTAAATAAAATATTTTATTACAAGCTCTAATTTGATCAGACTAGGTACAGGGTGGTTCAAATTCGATGTCCGAATAGGCTAACTCGGAAACTATAAGAGGTAGAAACAAAGTAGCTGCTAATGCCGAAAACATCAAAGCGCTATCGTCTTTTGTTTTTCCCCTAGTGGCCAAAACGGAAAATATCGTAAAACCAAGAAGTGCAATTATCTTTGTTATTATTATAGGTGGAGTATTATAACTATGACATTATANCACTTGCTGGTTTTACGATATTTCCAATTTTGGCCTCTAGGGGAAAAACAAAAGACGATAGCGCTATGAGGTTTTCGGCATTAGCAGTTTCTCGAAAAACGAGATCATGACATGGAAGCTACTTTTTTTCTAACTCTTATAGTTTCCGAGTTAGCCTATTCGGACATCGAATTTGAACCACCCTGTACACCTTCCGGTACACCCACTATGTTACGACTTATTTCAATTTAATTTTTCAATGAAAGCGACGGGCGATATGTACTATCGCCCCAACCTTATTTACTACATGGCGTAAGGCACAAAAAACAAACCCCCGCACGGTCGCTTTGCCGAGTACGGCCGAAGAATCGGGGACTGGAGGGGCGTACTCATTTTCTCTCGAACCTTTGCTCTAGCCTTGTCGTCTCTTCAACCCTGAAGTGCCGGGCGCCCGACGCCAGCTTAAAGTCGAGCGCGCCTTGGATTCGAACAAAAATACACAATTTCGTTTTTACAATTCAAATAACTGGACCAATGTTATGACGTAGTCGATTTTAAAAATTCATAAAATAGTCAAATATATTCATTAAAATAAAATAATTGAACTTTAATAAGTGAAAAAAATTGTTTCTTAATTTTAAATACGTTTCTGTACTGTATATCTTCGTAAAGTTAAAGAATTTAGTTAAAATTCGATGTAAAAATCGTCTCTTAATTTCCATTAGTAATATTTTTTTTCTAATCTCATTTAAAATGGCATTTTAACCGTTTAATATTATAGAAAGTCTCAATAATTTCAAGCCATTTACGACCATTAATGCGTTTACGCACCGTTTCTTCACATTTTTTTGCGTATTTTTGACATAAGGCTTTTGCGAATTTTTTTTTCTTGAGTTGATATATTTTTTTTGTAATAAGTCTTAAAATTTTACAATAATTTCTCACCTTCATCGTAAATGGGTAAACAATAAACTTTTTATTTTTTGTACACTTTAGTAATGTTAAAAAATTTATTACCTTATTCACATAAGGTAATATAAAATTTCTGTGGAAACTACCTGTAAACTGAATTTTATAGATTGTTATTTATGAGCATGATAATATTCCATATTATAATGAAAAACCATTTGATTTTGAGTATATAATTCATTTATTTACAAAGAAAATTTTATTAATAATAAAACATTTTATTATATATATAT